GGTCTGGGCCTCCCTTCTGAAGCTGCTGCCCCCGCGACCCGACCTCGGATAGGCGGAAGAAAATGGATGGATGGTTCAGATGTTTGTGATTATTAAGAAGTTTACAGAAGGAATGAATGATTTTCTGAGTCCTGTTGAAATGTTGGTTTTGGATCCAGAACAGGGTTTGACAGCAGGGACAGCTCCCAATCAGAGAAACAGCTTTTGACCGTCTACGACCTGGACAACAAGTTTATCGCCTACAGCGCCACTTTTGACGATGTGATTGATGTGGTGGCAGAGTGGGGCTCCTTCTACATTCTGACCAGAGACGGACAAATGTCTGTACTCCAGGAAAAAGACACGCAGACCAAACTCGAGGTTAGTCTTATCTGTAGGTCTGTGATAAAGACTCAGCTCATATGTTCAGATTAGTGTTTCTCAGACTTTCCATGCCTTGTCTTTAAAGATGCTGTTCAAGAAGAACTTGTTTGTGATGGCCATAAACCTGGCTAAGAGCCAGCACCTGGACAGTGACGGACTCTCAGAGATCTTCAGACAATACGGAGATCATTTATACCTAAAGGGGGACCATGATGGAGCCATCCAGCAGTACATCCGGTAAATCCTCTATTTTTCACACAGGTTATTGTGTTGTGATGATGGTGTTAAATATTTGTTCTTCACTGAAGTTCATTTAGTTTAATGACTGCACACCCCTCACTGAAGTAAAATACACTGATGTGGCCACAGCATTTCTGTCCACCATCTTGCTAGGTGCTACAAGCGTGTTTATATGTCAAAGCAACACAGTAACGTCTTGTTTATGCTGTATCATCAGTCCAACAACAGACTGTTTTATGTAAATAAACACATGTTGTATGTAGTCAATCTTTGAAGGCATCAGAACGCCTCACAGAGTGGGTGGAGTTTGTACGCAGTCTCTGGTTTTATTTAACAGTAAAACTCCTCCTGCTTCACGACTCGTCATCGTTTTGATTTGGATCAGAAAATCATCAAAAAAGGAAAAAGTGCACCAGATGGGACGTCATTAAGCTCCCTTACGTATCTAAGATTGTACCTGATTGTCTGTCAAAACAACAGTTAGCAGGACTCTAGAGTGTGACCAGTTTGGTCGCAAACGCGACCTGATTTCTTAAAAAAAAAAAAAGATTCCAGCCGCACTGGTGTGAATAGATCGTTGTTCGGTGCGCCGGAGCGGGACCCTGATATAAGGATTAAACAGACACTGTCTTCAACAAATCAGACGAAGTCCAGAGCCGTTTTGTCCAATCAGAGCAGAGCAGGGCGGGACTTTCAATGAAAGCATGTTTTGTTGAAGCAGCGGGCCGGCTCGAGATGACTCGAGCTGCTGCAGCGATCAGTCACATCTCCTCCTCCGCTCCTCCTGCACTTTGCTCCTGAACTACCAGAGACTTTGGTCTGTAAAACCTAA